GAAACGAGCCATTTTCATCATCATCATCATCATTATGATGTTCATGATAATCATGATGATAACAAATGAATAAGTTCATATAAATAGAATATTGAGAAAAAAAACTGGCAATGGAGTAATCAAAACAGAATCTTAGCATTCAGCAACAACAACTGAAAAATTAAAAAAAAAATTCCTTCATCTCCTCCCACACACACACACAGAACAAAATATACACATGTCGATCACAAGCCGCCTCTCTTATTATGAAAGGGCGCAAACCATTAAAATACGCGCCACATACGATTCTGATCGGCGGATTCAATATGAATGGATGGATGGATGGGATATATGTCTTTTTTGCTTTGCTTTTTTTTGATATTTTGATTTTATTTATGCATCAGTTACATGTAAATTATATTAATCTTGATCTTGTTATATCATCATCATCATCATCATATGGAATGTTTTGTTTAATTCAACTAAATAGAAGAAGTAGGGTGAATGATTTTTTTCTTTTCCTATGGTAAATAATCCTGTTCCGTTTAGACATAGTTTCCGATCATCGACAACTTGGATAATGATGATGATGGGTGGTTGATGCACTCGTCATCATCACTACTATGAACTTTGATGCATTTTCCACATGTGTGTATGTATGTATGGTTTGTCAAAATCATTGATGCAAACTATACGAACAAGATTATTTTCCATTACATTCGACAAAGCATCGACATCTGTGACCATCGTTATTCTTTTTTTAAAAAAAATCGTTGCGGTTTTTTGTTGCTCTTTTTTTTCCTTTCAACCAGATAAAACTAACCGTAACCATCATCGACATCGACATACACAAACAAACATACAAATGGTGTGTCAATAATATTCTCCTCTGTATTTAGTTTTAGTTTTAGTTTTTTTTAGAGTTGACAAAATAAATCGAATTAAAAGTTACAAGTGTCGCCAATTTTTTTTTCTTTTTTTGGCTTATATAAATTGAAAGGCAGTCATCCAAAAACCTGGATTTCAGTGACACTTGCTACGTATATCTACTCTACTCTGTATGTGTAAATAGAGAGAATTCGTCAATAATATATAATGGGCAAATAATTAAGTTTTTGGTGACAGCTCTAAAAAAACAAACAAACAAACAACAAAAACAAACATAGAATATTCCATATCAATAATGTTATGTTTTTTCAAAGTAAAAAAAAAAGATTAATCCAGCTGCGCACAATTTTGTTGTCGTTGTTGTAATCTGATTGATTGATTTGTTGTGTTTTGCTGTTTTGCGAAACAAAATGTTTTTTTCTGATTGATATTGACCATGATTATTTACATTTTTTTTATTCAGGATTTCCCTTGATTTGATGATAATATTCATTATTAATTAAAAAATACATTTCGGTTTTTTCTAGCCTCAAATTGTCATATCATTTTTCAGATTGTTTGTCTATTTGTATATACAAACCACACACACATGAAATGAAATGAATGGAATGAATGTCAACATGCGTGTGTAAAGTATTCATTCATTCGATTTTTTTTTTAATTAAATCACATAGAAAATCATCGGGTCCTTTATGTCATTATGTTTGTCAATCTGTCTTTTTTTTCTGTTGTCTATTTTGTCTGTGTTGATTGTTTGTTTTGTTTGTTTGTTTCACCAGGAAATTACATTTTCTCCGTATAGAATTCACAACGAAGAGAGAAGAAAAGAGATAAAAACCTGGTCGATGGGTGGTTGAATTGTCATCAACAACATCATCATCGTCATGATGATAATTGTAAATCACTGTAAACACTGAATGAGCCTCAAGGCAAAATTTTGTATTTGCAATTGGAACGATATTGTGATTGACGCCGATAAAATGCTTTTTTTCAGATAAAAAAAATTCTAGGGCATGGCATTGATGGCAACAAAAAAAAAAAAAAAAGGCATGGATGGTTTGATCCGAATTTGTCTATTTTATTTTTCAATTTTGCTTCGATGTAATGCATGTTTGCTCATCCACACAATCAAAAAAAAACAACAACAGACATCGATTGTCAATTGGTCGATGGCCAAAAAAAATTCATCATTGACAATTGTCAAATTGTTGCTGTTTGTTGCAGCCGGAACGAAATTCAAATGAAGAAAGAAGAAGATTCCTATTTTTTCATATTGATCCTATTTCAAATTAAGTTGTCATACATTGTATAAACTAACCAGATGAACACACTATTACTTGTCGTATTTTTTTTATTTTTACCGATTTAGTTTTGACAATCTTGGTGTAATAAGTTTGTGTGTGGTTTGATGTTCTTTTTTTTTGTTGTTGTTTTTGATTGTATTTTTCACACCAAACACACACACACATGTATCGAATTGTTTCTTCTTTGTCAAATGAATTGAAATATAAATAAAAATGTCAATATATTCAAGTGACGCCCAATAATATTGTGTTTGGTATTCACTCACTCGGAAGTCTATGTCATAGACATCAAAATAACAACAACAAAAGATCAATGGTGAACGATTGATGATAAAGATAATAATAATGATGATGACCTGAACAACTGGAATAATGTTATCATTGTATTATTTTGGAAACATCCTTCTTTCTTTCTTTTTTTTCTTTTTTTTTCTAGTTTCAAATTCTCGCGGATGAATGGAGCCGTAATTAATTAGTTAATTATTATTTGTAGTCGATTTTTTTCTCTCTTTTCGTTTCGTTTTTTGATAATGACCGGATCACACACATGTGGCGAAGAGAAACAAACGAAGAAATGCTACCGAATTTTCTTCGTTTTTTGCTGATGCTAAAAACGTTGAATAATCGATCGACAATGACAACAACTGTTCGGACTTGGGAATGATAATAGTAGTAGTAGCAGCAGATAGTTTAATTTCGATTCGCACGATTTATTTAATATAAATCAATGTTGTTAACCTTAATTAAAATGATGGTTCAATTTAATGATTCGGTCAAATTTGTTTTCATTTTATTATTATTCGATTTCATCTGATTTCAAACATACCAGATTTTAGCTGTTTCGAAAAAAAAAGATTCACATGGCAATTAATTTGTTGACCATAAAATAATTTGAATCATTTTCTTAATTTGTATTATTTGAGCAAGGGAAAAAGATAGAAGATTCTATGTGAAAAATTTTTTTCAAAAAAATAAAAAAAGTTATCATTATCATGTCAAATGGTTAAATTTCATTGAAATCTACCTTGTTGTTTTTGAAGAAAAAAAAACATGAGAATCGGATATTTTTATTGATATTACCAATTTGTTAGTTTGTAAATTTTCTTTTGAATTTTTGCAAAATTATTATTGAATTCTGCATGTAACATTCTGTTTTTGTTTGTCGGCAAATAACTACATGGTCATTATAAACATGTTCAAGCAAAAAAAAAAAACTAGCTAATTAGATTTGCATGAAAATTTTTTTTACAAAGGTTTTAGATCAATGATTTTCATTGATGATGATGAGCTTTCTTTCTTTTCGAATGACACATTCAAGTCATAAATGAATAAATGAATGAAACAAACAACTAGGAAAAAAAATTGTCACACTTGAAAAAATGGCAGAAAAAAAATATACAGAATTTCTTTTTTTAAATGTTTTTTCCTTGGGTATATAAAAAACTTAAGCATGAACAAATGACATGTTTTATTCTTGAAAATTCTTATTTCTTTGATGATGATGATTTATAATTCCATTGATTGATACCATAAAAATCTAAATGAATGATGTAATTCATAATGAAATTTCCATAGCATACAATGATTGGGCATTGTGATTTTATGTTGAACAAAAAGGAACCGGTGTTGTTTCTGTGGTGTGAATATTCTTTCATGATTATTATTAACCAAGTGTTACCCATGATGAACTTTTTTTCGGTCTTGTTCAAATTTCACTTTCTCGCCTTTTTTTTCAAACAATGAATTGCTTTTCATTGCTGTTGCATCATAACCATCATCATTATATAAGTATCCATCCATTTGTTCGTTTGTCGATTTGTTTCATGCAAATTAAAAAATCCAAAATCCAATTTTTTTTTTGTTGTAATAAGTAAATTAATTTGTTGATTGTTTGATTGGATTGATTCCAATGTGTTTTTTGTTGCAGAAAAAAATAGATTTTTTCTTTTTTTTTGGTTAGCGCTAAGTTGATCAAAAAGGTAAAATTACCTGACCGGTTTTTTTTTGAAAAAAAAGTTACCATTCTTTCGATATGAACCACTACTACGGGTTGATGACGATGATGGTCATGATCAAAAACGGAACCATTGCCCATCAATATACATCTGCTATATCTCTATCCGTGTGTATGTTTTTTCCAATGCTGGCCACGCATATCAAAAAACTTTTTTCGAATGTTCGACAACTATACTTTACCACAAATGCTGCCATTCCACCAAAAACTCTCTCTCTTTCTCGTTTCGTTTGTTTCCTCTCTCTCTCTTCTCTCTGAATCGAATCGTCAGTCTTATTTGAAACATCGTTCGTAATGGTTGTGTGTCGATTTTTCTGTAGTATATAGCACAACAACACTGTATCTTCTTTCATAATATTCATTCATTTCATTTTTTTAAAAAAATCCAATAAAACGGTGAATATCCAATGTGTTAAAAAAAGAAAACAATAATGAATATAGTGTGATCAGTGTTTCATCATAAATGAATCATCATTATCGAATGGTTCGAATTATTCGATAACAAATCAATTTTTAATTAAAAATTTTTTTTTTCTTCATTCAGTGTATTATGATTCATTACGCACACACACACATAATGATCATAATGACATGCCTAATGTTCTATTTTCCACGTGTTTGTGTCCATGTGCACCTTGTGTAGTAATTTTTTTTAAAAAATTAAATTAAAATCCTCTTAATTAGTTTGATTAGCATATGATTTAATTTCAAATTACAACGAGCATTCGATCAATTGTTTATCATCTTTATCATACTACAATCTAATTCATTTTCTTTGATACATCAACAAAAACATCGACAACAACAACCAAAAATGATTCATCCATTTAGGTTTATTCGATATCAACAACAATTGTTGATTATCGTAATCATCATAATCAATATGATCAATGGTCTTCCATTCAATAATAATAAAAATCGATTAAATAAAAGACAATCCTCTACTACTACTATTACAGGTAAGTTTGTCGAATATTCATTTGAAGAAGAAAAAAAAATTTAAATTGATAAATTCTGGTTTTGTGATTATCATTATTTTTTGTTCATGCTCTGGTTTTTTATGGATGTTTTTTTTTCTTTGGCTATTTTCAATAAGATTATCATCAAATTAATTAATGAAATAAATTATTTTCAAACCATTTTTGTTTTTCAATGATAATAATTCTTCCATTTTCATTTCATTTCGTTTCACAAGATTCGAAATGGTCAATTATGATCATCATAATGGTTGTATCTCTATGCATGTGAGTTTGTGTGTGGTTTTATTTAGAAAAAAAAACATTTCGTTGACATTCCAATATTCGTTACCCTGTAAACACATTCAAAAAACACACACACTGAGAGATGGAAATTGTTCAATATGGCTAAATTGATGGTGCCGAACAGAAAAATCACTATTCATAATGCCGCATCAATTTTAATAACATGCAATATCTTTCTTCTCTCTCTACACACACACACACACACACACATAATATAAATCGACTATCAAGAATCATCATAGATTTCATTATCATCATTATTTGACATGGTCAAAAAAAAAAGAAAATTGAATGAAGCAAAAAAAAAAGCCAAAATGAAAAACGAAATCGAATATTGCCTGTTGATTTCAATCATTAAACAAAAAATATATATCTTTTTGAGCTGTTATCACGATAAAACATCTCATTTCTATTGAGCACCATAATTTATTACACACACACACATAGCACACAGCACAAACACCGTCCATATGGTGAACATTCTTATGTGATGTGATGTGTGTGTGTGAATTCAACAAGTTTTATTCCGATTTAAAATTGAAAATAAATATTGCCTTTTTCACATGTGTGTGTGTGTGTTTCGAATGAAATTCAGTGGCCAAACTTTAAGCAAATAAAAATTTTTTAATTATAAAATTCAAAATATCATGATTCAAAAAATGATATCTTTTGATATATATCGACGACCATCGTCATTTTGATTCATTTGAATTTTCATCCAGGACAGTGAGTTAGATAGATAGGTTCACTGACTTGTCACATACACAAAAGTCGAAATGATGTAATTTTTTTTTACATTTTCATCATAACAATATGTCATTTACAGATTTTTTTTTGTCATTTTTTTTGCCGGCCATTTCTGGATTCTCATTCCCCTTCTCTCCTTAATATACGATGTGCCAATTCTGAATTAATTGAATAACTGATATGATGGTAACTTTATCTAGATTTTCATATTTCGATTGACTCGTTTACCGTCATTTTTGTTATGGTGGTGGTGATTATATCATAACAATAGCGATTTGATGATAACGAATATTAATATAAAAATCGGGTTGATATTCACAAATTTGGTGTGTTTAGATATTTTTATCATCATCAGTTTGAGGTTGACATTTCCTTTAGTTCATTTCCTTTTTTTTCATTATTTGACTTTTGGTTTGATTCTTTCTTCTTTTTGGTTTGGTTTTTCATTACATATCATTTGCCCATTATAAAATTTTTTTTCGTTGTCATGTTTCGTTTTGTAGTTTCTCTCGGTTTATTTTTCTTCATTCAAGTCATCATAAAGTTTTTTTTAAAAGATTTTTTTCATTTTGTCGTTTTTTAATGAGCTATCTAGCGACTAAAAGTCTGTTTTGGTTGTTTGGTTTAGGTTGAAGAATTGTGTATATAGAGATCGTATTTGTATTTTAAAAAAAATATTGAGTTTTTTTTGCTGGCTGGTATTGATAGTTATGCTTCGTTGTTGTTGTCATAAGAGAAAAAAAAAATATCGGATTTCATCATTTGGATTGCATAAGGATAATATTTTTTCTTTCTTCTCCTGCTTTCTTTCTTTATTTCTTTTCTTGAATCAAGCACATAGGAGTAACATGAACTTTGTATTGAAATTTTATTTTATTGAAAAAAATTTTTGCATTTTTTCACTGCTGCTTCTCTGTGTTTTCGTTACTAATAATAATGATAATTATCCAAAACAAAACATTTCTTCCAATCACATTACATCATTATCAATGTGTTTTTTTCACTAAAAAAATGCCTAAATAATCCATAAATCGATAATGTTTTTGTTTTATTAACGAAGACGACGACTACGACAAAAAATCATAAAATTTTTCTTTACAATCAACTGGATGAATTGTTTCCAGATTTGTATATATGAGAAAAAGTTAATTTAAACAAACCAAAATACCGAAATGACAAGATTTTCTGTTTTGTTTTTCTGTTGTTTTTTGTTTTGTTTTTCAAATTGAAAAATTGAACAAAATAAACAGACCATATAGCCATACTGATGATGATCTGATGACCAAATTAATTAAACTTTAATTATATACACACAGCTGAACATTCAAAAGAAAATCACTAGCCATCGTCATCATCATTATCATCATCTGGCTATAAATTTTAAACAATCAAATGAGATTCTAGTTGCCAAAACGAACATGTAAAAAAATAATAATAATAATTGGAGCGTACATGTGTGTGTTGTGTAAATCTCTATGTCCATACCGAATCTAAAGTCACGCCAAAACTATCAAAAACGAAAAAAAAAAATCTAATGAGCAGCCCTCAGCTGCTGTTTTTTGTGGCTTTGTTTTAATATTCATCCAGAATCTTCATTTCACTATGCTCATTTTTTTATTTGCTAATTACATTCACCATCACACACACACTAAGTATTATTCACAAATTCAGAAAAAAAAATGAAAAATTCTTTATAATGAATTGGGCGAACGAGCGAGCGAGCGATAGAAAATTCAAAAGTCATAATTTTCCTCTTCGCACTCTGATAACCAAAAACATGAAATTATTTTTTTCATGAACAAAAAAAAATAATTGAAATTTCAATTAACTTCTGTCATACACCAACCAACCAACTTCAATATTTACATTTGCAGAATGTTTTAGTTGAAAAAATTACATTTCCTTTTTTGGAAAAGGAATTTTTGGATTATAATCAATTCTTATAACACAGAGAGGGTTATTGTAATCGATATTGACAGTAATCAGTAAGTGACAATATTTTTTTTTCATTAAAATATGTGTCAATCAAATGGGATTTTATTCTTGCAACAAAAAACATGACAATCAAATTGTTTTGTGTAATGTTTGTGCTTTGTTGTTGTTCAATATGTTTTTTCCCCTTTTATTTTTCCGTTGTTCACCTTATCATCATCATCATGGTCAATTTGAAAAAAAAATTTTACGAAAACCATATGCCGCCAATGACCATGCAATAACTATGTGTGTGGCTGACCGGAGAGGAAATTTTGATGAGAATCTATGATGATGATTGAGAACAACCAAGCAAGCAATCCATCCATTTTATGGAATTATATGTTGGTTTTTTGTTTGTTGCTCGATTATACCCATTCACTCTTTTTCAATAGCCTTTGATCCGAGGTATTTACAATCTAAAAAAAAAATGCTAAATGCGATTATTATTGTATAAGATTTGAATGTTTCTATCTGATTTTGCCTTCCCTTTTTCCCTGTTTACAAAAACTCCATTCAAACACACACACCGTTAAAAGTTACAATAGAAAATGAGTTAAACAGAGAGAGATTGTCCAATTTGAAGTTTTAATCCTCTCTGTTTTTTTCACTTAAATCATCAAAAAGTGGACGGTAAAGGAATTAACCTCGAAAAATGAAAAAAACGGAATCGTTCAATCATAGATTTGAAGATTTAATATCATAAATATTCTAAAAAGCCAGCCTGTCCAGCGGAACACAAGATGGATTAATTCTGTGTGCGTTGTATTTGAATTTGTGAATGTATGTTTAGAGTGTTGACAATTTAAATATATACATATTTGGCGCTCTTTTTTTCTTTCTCTGGTTTGAAACAGCAACAACAGTCAATATGAAAATCAGACTGGAAATATTTGAGCCAAACAGGGAAAGAAAAAATGAATGATTGATCTATGCGCTTGGTTGATCATCATCAATGCTCTAAATAATAATAATAATAACAACCGAACAGCAGAACAACAATGACACGATAATCTTTAAATTCTATCATCTTTCTTCTTCTTCAAAAAGGTAGACCAATTTTCTCTCTGATCTTGAAGATTTTTACCATTTTGGATTTTAATTGCTACCTGTCGAGAGGTTGCCATCATCATCATTATCATCATACTGATGATGATGAGCATATAGACACTTGTTGTTGTTGTTACCTAGAGATTGTTATTGCTTGCTCTCTCTCTCTCTCTCTCTCTCTCCCACACTTTCAACAACAATTTTACCTTTACCTTTACCTTTAGTTTTTATCCAAACAGAACAGAAAAAAAATTTCCATTATTTTCGGTACTGTTCAACTTTCTTCTTCTTCTTCTTCTTCTTCTGATTGAATGTTCCACAATGTTGATTCAATCTGACATTCAACATTTTGACCACATTCGTATGATGATGATGATCCATTTAGATTGACTTTTTTTCTGGTTGTTTTTGCTGTTGATGATAATGATGGCCACAATGATGATGAACATACATAGGTCAAAAAAAAGAATTGAAACATACAATTTATTCTTTCTTCAACTGACTGACTGACTTCGACTGACTGACTTAAGCTGTTTGTAGCCATTTATTTGTACAACTAATGTCTCCTTTGAAAAATTTTCTGTCTTGCAAAATAAAAATTGAAAAATTGTTCAAATAACGATGATCATCATCATTCGAGCGGCAATAGATTTTCTCTATCTTTTTCCTTTAGCCAACCTCCTCCAAAACAAAACAAAAAAAAAATACTGACCTGGAAAACAACAACAACCGATTCAACGCCTACTAATTAAATTAGATTTTTTTTTTCCATTTTGGCTGTTGCTGTTTGTTGAATGAATGAATGATGAATGAATGAATGATTTGTTTGAAACCGAAATCTATACTATTATTTTCATTTAGGAAGATTTTTTTTCGGGTCTATTAAATAGATATCATCGATTTTCTCTGTTTTTTTGTTTTTATTCACT